AAAGAGATGAGAGAGGAAGGGAGAGAGAGAGATGAGAGAGAGAAAATGAGAGAAATGGGAGGGAGAGAGAGAGGGGGGGAGAAAGAGATAAGAGAGAGAGGAAAAAAGAGAGAAAAGGAGAGACGAGAGGGAGAGAGAGATGAGAGAGAGAAAATGAGAGAAATGAGAGGGAGAGAGAGAGGGGGGGAGAAAGAGATAAGAGAGAAAGGAAAAAAGAGAGAAAAGGAGAGACGAGAGGGAGAGAGAGATGAGAGAGTGGGGGGAAGATGTTTCCCATTGAAAACACTGGAGTCACAAAAACCGGGTAGGTGTGGCTGGGGGGGTCATATGGACTGGGTAGGAATGAGTGATGTCAAGTTGGCCAGGCCCACCCAGGTTTTGTGGTTCCTGGTGTTTTGTTTTCTGTGGGAAACAGGTCCAAATGGCTCTTTGAGTATTGAAGATTTCAGACCCCTGCCCTATAATGAGCAACGACTAGCAGAAAAGGAATCTAAGGGACTCCTTTCCACACACACACACCCTACAAAGAGCTTACAACATCTCACAGTACTTTGTCAATCAGCTCTCAAATCCAAATGGGAATATCAGAACGATAATTTCATTTCACATAAAAACGAAAGATTCATCAATCCTCACAAAATAAGATATGCAAGTATTCACATGAACTATTTGTCACCAGTATTTCTACAGACCTGTTATACATTATTGTTTCTTCATTTACAAGACAATCACTAACCCCACAAAGAATAAAAGGCTATGAAGCCCTAGCAGTACATGGGAAGCATTTAGTAAAAGAAAGGATAAACATAGATAGATGCCTTTTGTCCCTTTTAAAAATCATAGTCACATTTGAGTATGCAAGATCACGTATAAAACACTAAATGTATCTCTAGGGAAAAATGATGCATACAGAAACTGGAAGACAATAGATTGCCCTGGCCGTTTAAAGTCAGCCTATTGATTTAATTCTGTTTGGAAATGTCAACTTTTGTTGCTGAATTTGCAAAAAATAATAAAGTAATGTTCAAACTGCATTAAAATACCACTTCTGTTATGAAGTCATCATCATCATCAATCATACAAATGTATTTACAAAATAGAATTTTTTTTAAATGCTCGAGAACATCCCTCTTCATTTCTAATGTCTTTAACAGAAAATATTTTTTTCAGAATGTTTCAAAAAGGGTCTGTGCAACAGAAATCAGCTGGTATTAGAATCTGAGAACTCATCTTTCAACACATGTGTAATTGTCATTTAGGTTAGAGATAAACTGAAGATGCCATAACTGAAGCCTTTCCCTGCTTTGGAAACGAGCTATGAATACCTAAATCCACATTTTTTTCCTATTATTTTTCTCCAATGATTTTTCAGAATCTGACCCAATTTTCCTAGGTAATGACAGAAGATGTAGAATCAAGACCACTTTAAAACAGCTGCAACAGAAATTACCAGCTGATATACAACTTTTCCCAATTTTATCAAACGTATACAATATTATGATTATACTTCAAATTAACATGCATATGCAGCTGATCTACATTTCTATAGCTCTTATTCACTTTAATGTAAGAAATAAAGAAAAGTGCAAATCAATAAAAACAGAAACCAGAAAAAAAGACAAAGACAAAAACAAAAAAGCATTATGAAACACAAAGTTTTTAAACATTATCTCTTGACCTCATGAAGTAAAGTTCGCCAATCCTGTTGTTATACCAATAAGGCAATTCATCAGGAGAGAGCAAAAGCATATAATCAATCCATAATGACACTGCCTTTAAAATAAGAAACAAATAATAAAATAAGCCTTGTTGCACCCCATTAACTTCTCTCCAGATGTTCCTTCAGCTTCTTCTGAGCTGCCATCTGAAGAGGTATCGAGGAAGCATCCGGGGAAGTCATCACATGTGTAAACTTAATCCAGCTCTTTTCTTTTTAATTTTTCTTTTTATCTGGGGGTACGTAAATTTTATTTCAAGAGTCACCTGCCTCTTTGGAATTGCTTTCAACAGTTATGCTGGCTAGAATTTTATGTACACATAAATAAATGTTCATTTTAAGTGATGATAAAACAATATGGATACATTTAACCAAATTTTTCTTTTTACAAATGCTGAAATTTTACAATAAATCCTCTATATCTCTTTTTTCCTCCTGTTTGGCTATTGTTTAAAACAATCTCTTAATTGTGTTTCCTTCTCTTGACGCAACTTCACATTTTCATCTTTTGATGCTATTTATAATTTCCAAGTTGCACTGCAGATTGTTTCATGGCTTAATTTCCCACTGTAAGATATAACTTAATTTTCTAATTCTTCTTAAGTGTCTAAAAGTTTCAAGATGTGAACAGAATGTTAACAACAGAATGAATAGGCCAATGATTTTTTTTTTTTTTTGCTGGTATTTCTAGCTTTAATGTAATGACAACAAAGACTCTAATTTAAAATGTCTGTTTGATCTCTAGTTCAGTTTTTAATAGGTTATGCTTTGTACAGAGACTTTTTTTCAATTCCAATAAGGATTTATTCCCTTATTTATTCATTCATTGCATTTATATTGCATCCAGGAGCATACAATAGTGACATTCTCTCCTGCAATTTTTCTGTTCAACAGCAATCCTGTAATGTAGATTGGATTAAGAGAGATTCTAGTCATCTTTGATGGCTAATGAAAAATTCAAACTTAGGCCTGAATTGCATTAATTCAACACCTTTTTATTATACACTAGTTTTCATTTCCCAACCCTCTATGGATTTTCATTCTACTTGAATTTCTGTGTTTAGCGTTAATCCTAACAGGCATTTAATTTTTATTTAAGGCTATATAATATGAATTACATATATCACTAAGAATTGTCAAAGCGGCCAGAAGAAATACGAGCTTGTTTGTCTTAATCATGTTAAATTTTGAAATCCAGTTAGAGAGGAGCCTGTTGGGAGAGAGTTGTGTGTGTGTATGTGTTCATCTATTTCCATAGTAAGAATTCTGAGCACTTATTGTGCACTCAAGGCAATTTCAGAGAGACCAGAAGCAACTCTGAAAATAACAGCTGCTGTGAAACACTTTGGCATTAGTTGGGCCCCGGCTGGTAAGTTTATTTTCTTCAAGGAAGATGTAAGTGAAAGCAGTAGGAGGCAATTCTTTATCTGGGTTTTTGTCTGGCTGTTTGCTCATGGAGATGGAATTCAGTGTAATGATACTAATTCTGCTGAGTGTGTAATACATTTTGCCTTGCATTAACCTCCTTCACACTTGTGAGATTAAAGAAAAAGAACAAAAACAGGAATATTGAAGCTGATATTGCAAATATTATCATATTGTATTATTGGAGCTTGAAGCATAGCTTGAATTTACTGGTGTAAATTACCATATTTTTCAGAGTATAAGATGCACCGAACTATAAGACGCAACTAGATTTTAGAGGAGAAAAACAAGGAAAAAAAGTATTCTGAACCAAATGATGTAGTAATATATTATTTAATAAAATACCAGTATAACAGAATAATTTTTACAACCATATATACTTTTTACAACTCTTCAACTCTGGCACTTGAAGTGCACAAGTCTTAAAACTGTAAACCTAACCCTTTAAAAAAAAACCAAAATAAAACTTTANAGGATTAGAATTCTCCATCTTGTGCTCATTGGCTCAAAGTCATCCAACCAGCTTTCAGGGCTAAAGCAGGACTAGAACTCACCGTCTCCTGGCGATTGGCCCAAAGTCACCCAGCTTTCATAGCTAAGGACTTGAACTCATGGTCTCCTGCTTTTTAGCCTGTTGCCTTAACTTCTAGACCAACTGGAATCGGGCTCCACATACACTGCAATACTCCCTCTCCACTGAGGCTTATTAAAATCAGAATTATCCAGATTCACACATTATTCTAAGCCATCCCGAGACATGCTTGGGTTTCCCTTTGGCCAAAGTTGGGCAGACTCGTTCCTCAAGTTTCTAAACCAAGCTTTGCAGGATAACATATCTCAACCAGTTGAGGTCAACCCAAGAAATCTACTGTGATGCCCTGTTTCCCCCAAAATAAGACCTTCCTGGATAATAAGCCCAATTAGGATTTTGAGCTCATGTGCTAAAATAAGCCTTCCTCCACGCATGCGGAGCCGGTCCCTGCCATTTTCCTGGGGGTGGAAAGGGGGGGGGAACAGGCTTCCTGCACCTCGAAAATAAGACCTCCCCGAAAATAAGGCCAAGCGCTTATTTCAGGGGTCAAAAGAAAATAAGACCCTGTCTTATTTTCGGGGAATCACGGTAAGTAGCCGAAGATATTTCTCTCTCTCTGGGCACAATGAGAATATATCTACTGAACAAAACTCTGCATTGGTGACAGGAAGGGCATCGGGCCAGCAAAACACTCTGCTCGCCCCATTCAGTTGCCCAGATTCCACCCCGCAGGGGGTTATGGGGCCATTTTAAATGATGGTGGTTTATGATGTTTCGAAGCTGGAATGCACCGGGGATGCATGATGCATTAATATGATTTAAATCGTGAAACGTAGTGGAGGCTATAGAAAGATTCGTATACAGGTGTAAGACGAACTTTGGGCCGTAGGAGAGAATTCAGACAACCTGTCCTGGGTATTACAGGGAAGGTGAGACAGTTCAGATCCTTGGATCTTTCTATATTTTAAATCATATCAAGCTTATAGTAGGGAATTCTCTGCCGAGGGGTAGTAACATTTTAGCCTGAATTTCCAGCCGCTGAAAATGTCAAAGCTTCGTGCAACGTTGAAATCTCAACAACACTTCCCAAAGAGCAGACTTACACTGTGGTGTAGCTTTGGTGTAGCTCTAGCCAGTACTAATTCCCTGTATTGATCGGCGTCCGACTGCCTCGTACACCTCGCCTCTCACAAGTCTTGGCCTCTGCTGCCCCCTTGTCTTAAATTGTAAGATGTTCTTGAGTCCTCCTCTCCCCCCCAAAAAGGGATATTTATGTATGAATTTGTGGTTGTTCCAGCCACGCGCAGCAGGAGCCGTTCCCATATTCAGATGGACCAACATCCAGATTACGATGGGTTCTCCCAAGAGACCATACAGGAAGTCCAGCCGGAAGAGGTGTTGGTCATTTCTCTAGGGACTGGTCCACAAATCACCCCCGGAATGATGTCAGAAAATGAGGTACGTAAGCGAAGGTGAAATAGGTGTCTATTCAAGCGATTCAGTTCCCAATGCTTCCCCCCTCTCCCTCTCTCTGTCTCTCTCGCTCTGTGTCTCTCTCTCTCCCTCTCTCTCTGTCTGTCTGTCTCTCTGTCTGTCTGTCTCTCTCTCTCTCTCTCTCTCTCTTCCAAATTGACCCGTGTTCTTCAGCTGTTTCTTTCCTCTGGCAACTCTGTGCATGCGCACACTGGGAACAGGCTCCAGCTGTTCTTCTGCCTCACTGAAGTCTGACTCTGAAGGCAGCTGATAACTGTCAGACGGCCCTGGCCCCCTCTCTTCCTCCGACACAGAGCCCTCATCAGAGCCTTCCCCAGACTCCAGGACTGGCCCAGGTGCCTCCCCAACCTCCTCATTGTCTGAATCTGCTGGCGGGCCCCAACACCTACTTCCAAGGAAGCACAGGAGTTCCCTGCTGCTTTCCAAGGAAATTCCTCGCTACGTCCAGGGAGGGCAGAAAGAGAAATCCCAGCTCCTTGCTTCTGAATCCTGCAACAATGCTTCTCAGGGACCAATTGGGAGAGGAATGCAGGCGTTCATGTGTTTCAAACACCCCACATCACCCCCACCTCCTTTTCTCTCTGCTTCCTTCCCAGGTTTTAAACATGCAGCTGGCCGATGGGAGCCAAGGCGATGTTCCTGTTGACGATTCCAAACTCCACGGTAAACCTGATAAAACCCTGCGGTTTTCCCTCTGCAGTGATAATCTGGAAGGCATATCCGAAGGTGAAGGGCTCACTTTTGTTCCTTGTCCATCAGAAACGCGTTTAAACGGAGCTTTCGTGCATTGCTATCTCCGAACCCGCTGTTGCAAAACTCCATTATCATTATTATTTTGCGCGTTTAGTAGCCCTTTTTCCTTTTTTGTTCTGCCTCGGCTTCCTTCTGTTGCATTTATTGGGTGTCTCTTTTTGGGGCTGGGGTGCAACTCTTAATTGGCCCGTTCTCCCCCCCCCCCTTCTTCTCCTCCTCCCTTCCAAACAGGCCCTTCCAATCGCTCCAATTCAGTATCCTCCCTGGATTTAGAAGGAGAATCTGTTTCTGAATCGGGGGCTGGCCCGTCGGGAAGTAACGGAGTCGAGGCCTTGCAGCTTCTGGAACGTGAGCAAGGTAAGAAGCGACCCGCAAAGTTACCTAGCAGAAATATCTCCCAAGAGGTTGGGGGTGGTGGTGGCATGTAATGGCTCAGTGGTTAAAGATGTTGAGCTTGGAGGAAATAACGGGTTAAAATAGAATAGTTTTTTTTTAATTAGGACTAATGTCTGTGAAATCCAAAAAAGAAATCCAGTATTTAATACTGTTGCAATATAATTCCTTGTGTAGGCGTAGTGGTCACCCGTGGCCCAGTTCATACCAGGGCATGCAGAGTCACGCTGAACCACACAGGAGAAAACAAACTCCTAAAACCCC